CAGGGTAACACTTTAGTTTTCAACATGGGCAGTTAAGGGGAGACCCACAAGGCAGCATATGCAACCATGCAGTGAAGAGAAAATGCAGAGAAGGCAAGGGATCTCTTCTCCCTTTCTTGCAGAACTTGAAACTAAACTCAAGAAAGATTTAAGACCAGTGGAGGGAAAGGACAGAAAGAGTGGAAACTGCTACCAGCTAAGCTTACTGCTAAGAATGCCATCCAATATGAATAATTTTAAAAGAAGACTGGACTAGTTGTTAATACCTATTCAATGTGATGGCAGTTCCCTGCCATCACATTATTATTGAATTATTGGCAGCAAACCATCAGTGCTGGCTGCTAGGAAATTCCATTGGAAAGGAGCTCTTGCCCTATTGGCCTAGGTTTGTTTTCCCAATCATCTTGTTGGCCAATGGGTGATACAGAAGGATGGGCTATTTGGGCTCAGGGCTCAACCTCATCAGGGCTGTTTTATATCCATAACACTGGGTGGTTCTCAGGGATTTAATAAGTATAGATTCTGAGCTTATATAGAACTTTATTCAGTATGTTGTAGAGTGCAACCATTTTGTATGGATGGAGCTCTAAGCTCCCTGGGCACTGTCCGTTCCTTCATGTGGCTTCATATGAAGCCTTTATTATTTAAGCCTGATAACAGCAAACTCTTGAATTATGGGATGACCTGCATGAATTTATAAATAGTTGGTCCATCAAGTTTCTTGTTTTCCAAGCAAAACCTCAACCATACCAGATATAACCAAAGTTGCCAAATCTGCAACAGAATTTTAATAGTTTAATCCCTAACTTTTTAAAACGTAGCCACAAATTTTTAAACTAAAAAAAATGTTGGTTTTATCTGCATAGCCATAAAAAGTAGAGGGGATACAATTCAAGTATCATTGGTTTTATTTACTCAATTTCTCTTCTCTCAAGCAGAACTGTTGTTAGATCAACTCAAAACCCTACTCATTTGGTTGGCTCAGCACTTACCCTTAATTAACTCAAGGAAGACAATAGATCATTTTCACACAGAATGCTGAACCCATAAGCTACCCACATGGAGTGGTTCATTAATTCATTAACCAAAAAGATGGATGGGCAAGGTGTGGCTCAGCATCATGTGAACACAACCAGCGTAGCTTCCTAATTTTTTTTTTAAATTTTTATTGTTTTTATTAAAGGAAAACACACACAAAAAATAATCTTTCATTACATGTTAAGATGTAATGAAAGCTTCCTAATTTCTGAGTTAATATGAAGGTGATTTATAGGCTCAAGGTTGACTCAGCCTTTCATCCTTCTGAGGTTGGTAAAATGAAGACCCAGATTGTTGGGAGCAATATGCTGACTCTGTGAACCACTTAGAAGGCTTGGAAGCACTGTGAAGCGGTATATAAGTCTAAGTGTTATTGCTCATATAAAAAGGGGGGTTGTTTTGGAGTTCTGTTCAAATTAGGTCACTATAGATTTTTCTACACTGTGATTAAAACAGTGAATTAATTGTGAAGAATCAATAATGCCATGTATAGTNCATGTCTTTCTATAGACAGGACATAAGGAATCAGGAAGTCTACTGATTTAAGATTCCCCCAGGCGGTTGTCTCCAGATCCTTGGCTATTTCAGCACCGTTGCACCACTGGCTCCCTAGATGCCACATTAATAAAAATCCAGCTACTGAATCAGCTGACAGGCACAAAAAAGATGCGTTATGGTTTCACTTTCTAACTGGGCTGTTGAGAAGAAAGCAGCAAAAGCTAAGTTTATGTTAGTGAAGGGTTACGCATTAAAACAAGCCTTGTGATCTCCAGAGGACCACCCCATTGTTTTTGGGTTCAGGATGGAGACTTGATTTGAAACGGCTTCAAAACTAGGCATCCATGAAAACAAAACGCCAAATTACACGAAGGGACGGAAGGCTTTGAGCACACTTAACGCTGTGTATGGTTAAGGCCCATGAAAATTTGCTATGGCTGCAAAACACTGAAGAGGCAAGGATCTCTGGAGAATGGGACAAACAGGATGCCAAAAGAGAGAGAGAGAGAGAGAGACAGAGAGAGAGACAGGGGGGGGGATTAGAAGGCAGACGTATATGGTCCCCATTAACACTCACACCTGGATCAGAAAACAGATGGTCAAAAGGAATTTATCTGATCAGATTAACTGCAAGAGAGGAAGGGAGGGGTTCTAACTGCAATAGCCCCATATAATGCTCCCTCTTACTGCAAAGCCAGTCTGAATAAGTGCCACTTGGAGCAATTCAGCTTGGAGCACTTTAGTGCAACATATTGTCTGAAGACCACTAGGTATTGGGCACCCTACGTTTTCAAACCCACAGCAAGCCTTTTCATTTCCTTCACTACACCACCAAAAGAACTGTTAAGTGTGCAACTGCGCCTCTCTATTTCCGTTTCTCCTGATTCCCACTCCTAGACAAAGTTAAAACATTCCAGAAGCTTTGGGTGATGCCCAAACCATACACAGACTGGCACGGACCAAGTGCAACAGTGTTGTCAATTCAGAAGTCCTGATTCCCTTCCTGGCCCGTGAATCTGTCCTGAGTCCTCCTCTCTTCCTTTTCTCTGTTCTGTTCCTCCACAACTGCACAGGATGACATGGGAGCTGGAGAAAGACGGCCATGCTTATATAGTTCATAATGGAATCAACACCTGGTTAATGAGATACACTGCTGTGATTTGGAGACCAGACACACCCGTTGGGCAGAACCGTTAGTTTTATGGAGGAGGCAGGGTGGGTTAGGTATATTTTACAGAAAACCAACATCCTTGGCAACTTAAGCCAACTTCTATTAAGAACAAAACAGATCAGATCCTCCAAAGGACGGACGTTTTATTTTTCCAAAGGGGAGAACTCTAGGAATAGATTTCAAGGTCCAAGAAATGCTTAAGGTACTTTTTTTTTTAAACAATGCACTTTCATAGTGTTAAATACATGATTCCTTCCTCTCTTCTCACAATCAAGATAATTCCTTCTCTCTTCTGCTTACTCTGTATACAGTTTAAACGTTCTAGTAGATTATGTTATGCTAATGTTATATTTGTGCAGGGGTAAAAATTTTAAAAGGCAAGACCTGTGAGATGTCATACACTTTTTTTTTTAAAACATTTGTTACGAATAAATTTAATCCAATGATATGGCAAATCCATCAATTTGATTTACAATTCTCTGCATGCTGCCTCTACAAGGCGATTTTCCCTATAATTACGCCAACAATAAAGAACAAAACCACCAGCGCGAGTAATCTTGTGCTGAGACCCTCCTCCTTCACGGTGGTGGCGGAAGCATAGCTTGGATGGTTTGACTGGGGAGCCTTCCTCATCCTCAGTCCGTCTTCTTCCTGTTGCAAAGTTAATTTGAAAGTTTTTTTTTTTTAAATGCTTTGAAGTTAATTCTAATTTAGGTTAAGATACCAATCAATGCCGGCCCCACATCCTGAACAGCCCTCCCACCTTTAGTCTTTTAACACATTTTTAAAAAACTTTACAAGGAGAGTAAGAAAAGCAACTTGCAGTTTGGGGTGTCTGAAATGTGGCCTCACTCACCTGAAAGATTGGCAAAAATGTTTAAAGACAAATTAACTAAATGTTGGAAATGCCACCAAACACCGGGGTTGTATTACCATATGTGGTGGACATATATAGAAGCAAAAAAATACTGAGCAAAAAATTGAATGTGGTTGGAGAAGATGACACAGCAACATATTGATTTAAAACCCGAATTGTTTTTGTTGGGTACCTTACCAGGGAAATAATAGTAAAGAAAATATATATTTGATTATTCATGTAATAACTGTAGCTAGAATTGTATTTGCACCAAATTGGAAAGCTGAAGAAACCTCTACAGATGGAAACGTGATTATGAAAATATTAGCATGTGCAGAAATGAGGAGATTAACACTAGCAATTAAAGGAAAGGAAGAATCTGATTATTGTAATATATGGGGGTTATTTTATCATTGGT